TGTTAGGTATGACTCATAATACCAGGATTTGGAGTCTCTTGGAATGAAGAGATGTCTCTTGGAATTAAAGAGATGTGTCTCTTGGAATTCAGTGGGTTGAGATCAGCGAGGGCGCAGCAGAAACATGATGGCCTAACCCACATTGGTGCAGGTGTAACTCCCAGGTATCTTTTCTCCTAAGGGGCTGGATATTCGCCAAGGTGGAGATTTGTTATGGTGTGACTCATATACCATATAGGGACAGACGCTGGAACGAAGCGGAGCGGAGCGGAGCGGAGCGGAGCGAAAGAATCTGTCCAAATTGGGAAGTTACGTTATATGGGTTGGGGCTATACGGTAGAGGGGTAATTTGGGAATTACATATTGTACTGCAGGGCTTACTCTAGGATTATAAATAGACCTGTTTGTAATCCTAGGTCTTTGAGAGAGTTGAATTTTGTATTCTGTATTCTTTTCTGAATATTGAAAAGGAGGTCGCCGCTCTGCTCCCGAGGATGTAGGCATCTTTGCCGAACCTCGTTAAATCTCTGTGTTCTTCTGGATTTGTGTCGTTCTTGTTTTTCTTCGCCCTAATTTTCCCAACAGACAATGAAGATATTAATCAATGGGAACAAACAATTAGAAAGGAGATTTTAATCAACGAATAGTTCCAGAGTAATCTAGCTTAAAAATGAGCTTCACAATAGTTCTATGGGAACAAACACCTACCTAGCCAACATTAAAAGCCTGGTAGACAACATAGTCGCAGCAAGTTCCAAGATCGACAATGAACTTAGCCCCATAAAACTTAAGATTTTTTTTTCTGTTACACAACGAAGAGTGCAAGTTAGCCAACTAAGCAACAAAACAACAACCAGGAACAACACTGTTTACAAATAAAGCAAAGGGACCTCAACACCCTAACCGAACCCACCACAAAAACTACACACAAGATCAGAAAAACCAACCCACACATACCAAAAAACAAACAAAAGTCAGTGGTGATATGCCAGAAATGCCATGAAATAGGTGACTCAACAGCTCAGTGTTGGCATAGAGCCAATCTATAGTAAAAACGAAACTCCAACACTCAGTTCTTTGCCCTGGTTATGAATACCACACAACTCAAAACTGGGTTCTAGATACAGGAGCATCAGCCCACCTCCCACCATATGTTGAGAACTTACAACAGCCACTCCCATATATGGGTGCTGAGCAAGTAGCAGTTGGAAACAGTTAGACAACAGAAATATCACACACATGCAATGATATTCTTGCCATCCCAACTAGTAAGCTCACTCTCTCACCCATTTTTCAAGTTCCAAATGTCTCACACAGCCTGATCTCTATATACGCTCACCCATGACAGCAATTGTTTAGTTACCTTCGATTCAAATGGCTTTCACCTACAGAACCTAGGAACCAACAAAACTCTTCTCATTGGACCAACTGAACGAGGACTGTATCTTATCACAACCCTCCACTCTACCTGAGGAATTTGGCAAGGAAAAAAAAAATAGAGTGGTAAGAGGTAGAAGTAGATTGCCTGCCATGATCTCATGGAACAAATCCACACCTGATGTCATTGAAGTTTGAGAGCTAACTTTATTTTCTAATTTTTAATTAACACCTAGTATGGTTCCGGAGGCCATATAAATCTTTCTTTTTTCTAATATAATATAGAAAAGTTGGGAAAGCATAACAAGATTAAAATACTAAAGCTTCCATAGAAAAGCATATAGGTCTTTTTTATAATATATAAAATGTTCATTTAAGTTAATTCTCATTGGTGGCTTCACTGCATTGGGTAACACTCTTGAAGAGTACCTCGTTCATCTTTGCAAGAGTAAATAGTTTTTTTTTGCACAATAGGCAACGAGAACTACATATGTTGCCGAATATAGCCTTAAGTAGAAAATGTTTTTTTGTATGCGGTTTCCATTGCATTATGCTTAAAATAGTTTTATATTTTCATATTTACTAAGTTGTTGAATCTTTTAGGGACAACAACGTGGGGCACTGGATATGCAGAAGAGACGTGATCTCATTTATGGACATCTTAATAAGGTGAATTTGGTTATTTATTGGCCTTTAAAGAGATTTTTTTTATTTTTTATTTTTAAGGGTCTTGTATATTATTACATTATTTTTGACGAACATACAATATATATATATATAAAATTTTTTACAGGTTTCAGCGTCGACCCTTGATGTGCTACTACAAACGGTAATTAATGATGGTATGGTGGTGGAATGTTCATCATACAGCAGATAGCTTATTCAGTATAATTTACTTTGTTTCCTACTAATTTATATTTTGTTGTGATAAAATATGTAGTTCTTGTAAAAATGACCATGTTAAATATATGTGCTCCGAATTTAGATGTTAGTCTAAGAAATAACATTTAAATGATGCAAGATGTATTATGGTCTAGAATTTATAATGTGATGCAACTAATTTATGTGATGAATGAAATTCAAACAGTCAAAATTTAGTATTCACACTTCACTGTTTTAAATACCACCCACTAAAACACTTACTTTATATTGATACAAACTCAAAAAATATAAATAATTCCTTCTAAAAATAAGTAAATGATTGGCTAGTTAGAAAATTCGAACCACTAATGCACTTCCATAAAGAATTGCTAATAATAGAAAGGGCCTTATCACTATTTCGACTATGATTAGTTGCATTTCAAGAAAAACTCTTATCTTAAATTAAGTTGATGAAAAGGATAACATATAAAATCATTAAATAAATAAATGTGTGCCTCATGTTGTACAAGAAGAAAACTTCCCTAGGAAATAGGTAGTTGAATTGCATCATACTCAAAGAATTCGACATCCGACTAGTGCTCAACCTTGAGAAGAAAAAATAAAATCTTTTCAACAAAAATTCAATTTTATTACATGCCTCTTATGATTTTTATAAGCATTTAGTCTCGCTGAAGGTTGATAGTCTTGGGATTTCTTTGGAGCAATGCAGTGCATATAAAAAATTGAATTGCGTGCATTGAAATCATGTAAACTATCAATGATATGGGTATAAAAACCCAACATGCCAACTCGACTCAAAAAATTTGGTTTTAGGTTGACCCAAATAATTTTAGTGTTAGGTTTGGGTTAGGAATCATAACTCGTTTAATTTTTCAGTTGGGTTGGGGTTGATTTGCCAACCAAAAATTGACTCGCTGACCTTGAATCGACTCGAAAGTGGGTCGTCAATCCAAAATTGATTCGAAATCCACCCAAATTTGACCTTAAATCAACCGAATAATTGTTATGCTTTATGTTAAACTGGTTTTACGGGTTAAGAGGGTTGGATTGGACTTTCTTACCTGTTTAATATTTGGGTTCGATTTTGGTCAAATATTTTTGGGTTGGGTTAGATCTGAAACCGACCCAAATAGTTGTTATGCTTTATGTAAAATGGGTTATAACAGTCAAAAGGGTCGGGTTTGGGTTGAACTTTCTGACCCATTTAATATTCAAGCTGTGTTTTGTTCAAATGTTTTCGGGTCGGGTTAGACCAGAACCTGACCCGGGAACCCAATTTGACACCCTTAATCAAGGTCATAACAAGCACTGTTGATTAGCACAAGGGAATATCTAGTAGAATAACAACATAGTAGAAACATACAAGTGAATATCCACGTTAATAATGTGAGGTGATATGCATGGGTGACCCATGAATAAACCAATAGGTCACTTGAACCATCAAAATGTGATAAAGAAACCATTGAACCAAGGAATATATATAAATTGTGCCAAAACAAATAAACCAACTAAGGGAATCAAAACATTAATGAATAAATCCCGTTCTCATGAGCATTCAACATGATAACCATGCCAACACTTAAATTGAAAACTGAAACTACCAAATAGGACGTTAGAAAATAAATTAACTAAAACGAAAAATAATATTAAATTTTCTAGTTGGTTTATCTAAACCCATATATATGTGTTTTTTACGAGTTTAGACTTTAATTCTCCATCAAATCTATTAACTTCAAAAATTCGGCTTCTACAAGTTAACATTTGATTGTCCTCTTCAAGCAAGTTTGGGCATATTTTTTGTGTGTCCCACGTTGTGATTCATGAAACATCATATGTTGGTTATTTTAGGAATCCAACATTAATAATTGACATAATTTCATCATCTAAGATGGTTTCGGGAATAAGTTGCATAGAACAATCAAATAAAATATTTATATTTATTTACAAGGAGGTGCTCAACATTAATGATCTAAAGCGTTGTAGCAGATTATTGAAATAATATTAAATCTAATTCCAAAGTTGATCTATCACCAAAGTTTACTTAAATTTTTATGGATAAAATTTAAAAATAGCATTTTCTAAAAATTTAATATTAAAAAATGATAACTTAAAAATAAAATTTTCAAAATTGACAAAATTATTTTTCCAATTGGTGACATGTGTCATCATATGACACGTGGTATTGTCGCTCAGCCATGTGACAGTCACATGGCATTTTTTTTAATACATATATTTTTTCTTAATAAGACTTGGATAGTGAACCTGCCTACTTTGTGAGAAAGAAATCAATGTAGCGAGACGGAAATGAAAGGTGCAGACATAAATGGAGAAAAAAAAAAGATAAAAAAAATAATATTATCATATTATTAAATATTAAATATTATTTTAATGGTCTTTTTTTATTTTAGTTTTGATGATACTCACTGCTAAGTGAGGTATATATTTTATTTTTGCACTGTTCTAAAAAGGATTTTTAGTTTTAAAATATCAAATATATTGTTATGATAGTTCTGTTGCAAACATCATTACTATACATGGTCAGAATGATCATTTGTCCGAAAACAGTTGTGCTGCAACTGTTTTCAAACAACAAGAAACAAACAACCAGCCAACTGTCGGCGCTTAAAAGGGAAAAGGGGGGAGGGGAAGAGAGTTTTGGATGGTTGGGGGGC